TTCACAAAAATATGCTCTGGGGAAGTTAGTCATAACTAAAGTTGCAATGCTGGGCACAGTTGCTCCTACTAAAAGCAATGAGGTTTAAGTTATTCATGGACAGCTCTATTGATTTCTGGAAAAGAGTTGCAATTAACTATGGCTGAATTGGTGCTCTGAACTTTTCCTAGACTTTTATGTCACAGAGTAAGTGAATGGGATATTGCATTTAAATTCTGGCACAGGAGGTTAAAACAGCATCCAAGAGTGCAGAGCTTTTAAAATGACATCTTTATTATAGATTAACGTTTTCAAGGAAAATAAAGTCAGCTATGCCAAACTGCTGAGAAATATGATTCAGTAAAAGCCCCTGTATTTTGCAAATGCTTTTTGAAAGTCAGTTTGTAGCTATCTCAGGCAATTAAAAACAAAACCAGCAATCTTTACCTCCATCAAGCACAAACCTTTTGGATCCCTTCTCCACCCATTCTAAATAATTGCAGCAAATGCATGTTGAAAACAATCCCCTCATCACTTCCCTTCAAAAACTGAAAATCAATCAATAAAAGTAAATTAAAGTTGAGTAAAACCATTGGTAGAACAAACAATAGATCATGGGGCTTAAAGTAATTTCCTTTCTGGCTCCTTCCCACAACTGGTTGGATGCCAGATCAGTGAAAAGGTGACTGACTGTATTCACTTGGAACGTTTCTGATGCTGGGCAGGGCTCCTGGTAGCACCTGCATCACCTCCCGGAAATTTGCACCTGAGGTCTGCTTGCTCGCCAGAGCCATTTTACCACCATTTATTTTTCTTTCATTTTTCTGAACTTAGTCATGGAGATGTCACAGGAGGAGGATCTGTATCATTCAGTATCATTAACCAGACTGGCTGGGTTCAGACAACACACCAAACCACCCCAGCTTCTGGTATTGCGTGAACCCAGTGAATATGAAAGGAAGAAATCAGGCTGAGAGTGCAGGTCTATTACGATGACGGCAACGATGACATTACATTTGTATACTTCCTGTAGCTAAAACTCTTTTGGTGGTTCACAACATTTTAAGTCACCCATCCAGATTTCAACCAGGCCTGATCCTACTTAGCTTCCAAGATTAGTCAGTATCAGGCACTTCAGGCTACACAGAAGCTCATCATTGTATGCAAGTTTGGATGGGAAAAGGGCCTATGAATCCCAGCATTCCCCAGCCAAATGTCTGCCGAGATTTGATGGGCTTGCACCATGGAAACCTTCCCCCAGAAGTGCCGGCTTGCCATGAAGCAAATAGAGTGGATGGGATTGCATCCTAACATGGACTCTCCACCACACATGAAAATCTGAGGTGGGGCAGCTCCACTCTATCAGTTCTCACATGGCCTGCCATTTAATTTAATTTCTCTGTAATAGTTCTGAGTGACTTGAAATGTTGATATTAAATTATGTCATGCAGTCCCAGAGCAGTCCTGTGAAACAGAGAGAGGAATCGGCCCCATGAGGGTTTTCTCATTCAGTGCTGGAATACGGATCTTCTATGAACTATTCAAATTCAGTGGCAGGTCCACCTGGCTAGTCTTATACCTTGACTACAAGCCACTTAGGAAGCATATCCCTATGCATATTTACCCCACTGAACTAAGTATGTGCAGTCATGAACTAATTTTTTTTCATCAGCTTTTTCTTCCTTCTGGCCAGTTGCCCAAACAGAAAAAGGTTATGGATCCTTACATGTGTTGCAGCGGCTGTCACTTGGTTTCTCTTTATTGATTGGGGTGATCAACCTGTGGCCATCCAGATCTTTTTGGAGACCACTCCCATCAGCTGTCACCAGCACGGCCAATTGGTAAGGAATGACGGGAGCTGTAGGCCAGAACATCTGGGAGGCCCTCAAATTGTCCACCCCTGCTTCAGATGAGCCAGCTGCTTTTTGGTCACTTCCTGACTTACTCCAGTCTGTGTACTGGACTGGTTTTTACTTCAAGAGTTGGCAACTCATAGGCAGGCCTGACGTCTGAGAAAACATGCCCAAAACCAGGCTACCGCACATCCCCTCCATTAGCTGGCCTAGAGCTGCTTTTCACTCCAACGTTGCATGCTGGAAGATTTGTGGCTCTGGGAGCAATGAAACCTGCAAGGCAGTGTCCTGACCTTCCCCAGTTTAAGCCAAACCATATCCCTTGCAGTCCACAAGATACAGTAGCCAGATGAGCCAGCACAAAGGTGAAGGTGCCAGCACCCACCCTTAAAATGTCAGCCTCCACTCGTCACCTCCAGTGAGTGGTGCACAGTAAGCCCCGATCAGACACCCTCTCCCTCCAAGGAGGGGAAAAGCATCGGGGAGAGAGAGCTTTAACCCTGCTCCACTCTTGCATCCATTTCACTCCGCCCCTAGAGGACCTCTTCTATTCATGCTCTCAGAGGGAGCAGAACACTGAGAAATATTCCAGCCAGTGTGGCTAGCCTCCATGCATACCGGGCTCCAGTTCTGGGAGTGCTCTGGCCTGTGCGCCATGGGAGGGCTCCCCAGGACAAGCTGGTCCTCCCCACCACTAGGGACCGCCACTATTCAGGTCGGTGGTGGTTCTACAACCACCAGCCTCCTCCTCTCTCTAGTGTTCTTCTCTGGTAGCTTCCCGTAAGCATGTGAGATAGAACCACAACTGTCAGGTGCATCCACAACTGAGTGAGAGGGTTTGGAGCAATGCTGCCCTGCCCCTCTCAGGAGCAGAGCATTCTTGGCGGCTGCTGCTGCCGCCACCAGGTAAGCCTGCATGCAAAGGTGAGCACGCAAAGGTGGCCGGCAGGTGCAAACATGCACGGCTGGAAGGGTGAACAAAGTGGTGCCTGCTGCTGAGCCGGGTGGCCCAGGTGAGACATCACCCTTGGTGGGCCCTGGCAAACACCCCGGGATGCTGAGAATGGAGGGTGAGCCTAAGATGGACGGTCTTTAAAAAGGGATGCAGCAGAGAATGCTCACAGACTACGGGTGCATCACTAAAACAGTGGTGCCGGCAGAACGAGATCAAGAGAAAAAGGAAATGATTGTTGCTACCTTATGGAAGTTAAAATAAACCTGCACCAAGTCACTGACTTCAAATTGGTTACTGTCCATTGCTAGAAATTCAATCAAAATGGAGATATGTTGCACTGGTTCCTTCCAACACAGCTGCCAACTGTTGGAACAAAGACATCTGGGAGCAATGTTTTAATACGCTTCAACACCTTTTGGAAGCTTTAAGCATGATTGCATTTCAATAAAGAGGTCTGTTAGAATACTTGGACAACTGGCCCACTGCGTTAAATGCAACCAAAGTCATTTCTTTAGCCTATTTTTAGTAACTTATCTGCAAGAACTTCCAGAATGTTTGGCTCATTAGAACATTAGACATTGTTGGTGAACTGAAGGTCTGTGATAAATTAGCCCAGTGGACGAGTTCTAAGGAAGGCCTGAGAAAAGTGAAAGCAGAAAGGGTGCAGAAGCTGCAAACAGAGGACAAACCAATGCCCTTTCATGCGTATGGAAGGCAGGGTGGGACCATCTGCAGCAGCCGCACCACGGAGGAGCTACAGGTTAAATGGAGAGCTTGGAAATAGGAGCACCTTGTTCTTACATTACGTGCATATCCCATGTTTTCCCCTCTTGTGAAGAACCCAAGATGGCCTATAAGGCTTTCCTCCTCTCCCTTTTATTCTCACAACCACCACCCTGTGGAGGAGGTGAGGCTGAGAGGCAGTGACTGGCAAGGGCTGCCCCGTGAGCAACATGGCCGAGTGGGTCTAGAACCCAGGTCTCCTGAGCCCCACTCTGTCACTTTAACCATGGTGCCAAACTGGGCTTGCCTGTGTGTGATACAATGGCACACCATGCAGTGGGGAACCCTGCAGAGTCGGGTCTCGGGTCGTGTGAGGTGCCTGTGCAGTAGGGAGCAGGAAGGGCGCTATTTCAGACCTCCTGGGCAACGTGTGTGGAGGCGGGTTGGGCCCAGGGCTGCTCCCCCACCTGTTTAACCTACATGTGGAGGAACAAAGAAAAGACCTCGCCCTGCAAATGGGGTAGGAGGAAAAAGACAGACGCCGCCTTCAAGCTCCTTGGAAAACATATGACTCAGCTAGGTTAATCGTCTGAACTGAACAAGTAGGAGGAAGCCTACTTTAGCTACTAAACTTGTTTGAAGACATTACAAGGTTTGTTTTATGGCTGTCAATTTCTTGTGTCTCCAAAGCCAATCTAGAGGATGGATGAGCAGAACTATCAAGGTAGGTGCCTCTCAGTTTCTCATGTTTCTGTTCTCAGCTTCTGTTCATCCCATTTCCACTTTGGTCTGAATGGTCTAAAACCATTTTTAAAAGTTTTCATGAAACATTAAATGCATATTTGTGTATTTCTCCTAAGACCTGCATTTTATGTGATTTCCCCCAATGTATGCATTTTTCTGAGATATTTTTTCCTAATATAATGCATTTTTAATGTTACTTCCCCTGAATATATACTTCTTTGTTTGGGGAAACTCTAG